GCAAGGATTTGGTTGAGAAGAATTAGGGTTATTTCTTTAGAGATGGTAATATTTTCAGAAAATATGTAGATTTACATATCAGGGATTTATTTCAAACTAAGATTCAACAAATAGGCATTGGATTGGAATTAATAAATACACATTTCAACAAATAAGTATTAGAATTAATGAATACAAATTTCTTATTTAGTGTAGAAATATATCACTACTGAAATGGCATCACATAAAGGGGCCCCTTCCATTGCAGTTTGGAAATCTTCCATTATGTAAATAATTCCCATGTTTCTCTTTTATAATAAATTAATATCTTCATTTTAACTTGAAAAGAATAATTTTATTTATAGTTTCACTGTATCTATTATTTATCATTTATTATTTTAAATAGGGTCTTGCTATTTAGTTCAGGCTGACCTTAAATTTACTATGCCATTCAGGCTGGTTCGACTCACATTGATCCTCCTGCCTCAGCCTCCCAAGTGCTGGGATTACAGGCGTGTGCCACCGCACCCAGCTTGTGTCTGTAATTAAAACTAGAACATTTTTCAATTTTCTTAGCTTTTTTTAGTGAAATATTACATGCAAATGATATATAATTTTCATGTAAGAATCTATGGAGCTGAGCTGGGTGAAGTGCACACCTGCAATCCCAGCCTTTGGGAGCCTAAGGCAGGTGGATCAACATGAGTTCAAGGCCAGCCTGGGCTACACAGTGAGACCCTGTCTCAAAAAACAAAGACAAACAAAAATAATTTATTGGGCCTCATTTTATTTGTCCTCAATTAAAAAAAAACATTAGTAATAAATGTATACTGTAAAAAAAGGTTATAAAGAAGGTTATAAAGTGTAGCTCTACCAACCATAGATAACCTTGGCAAATACTCTGATCTAATTGCAGACTTTATATTACTCTTGTTGTAAATACATCAATATCATGTGTCTCTGTTATCTTAAAGTTGTAACTCTAGATCTATAGATGAATTAATCTTTATCTGGAAAATAGAATTACACTACATGTTATTTAAAGTTGCTTTCAAAATTCAAACTGTATAAATTAGCACCTAAAATGATAGAAAAATAAAAAAACAGAAGGGAATTTGTCTGATTGCAGGTGGGAGGTTTAGTTCTCCTCCAAAGACCTGGAAAGGACTCCCTGGGCTGGGCTGAAGAGCAGTGGGCAGTGCCTGAGAACCTAGCTGGCCTCCCAGTCCTCCTGGCCTCTCTCCTAGGGCCTGAGGGGCAGCTTCTTTCTGCTTGTTTTTGTGCCTGGGAATAGCAGTTGAAAGAAAATATAAGTAAGGGCCCCATGCTCCTGTCTACCACCTTAACTACCAAGTACCCCTCACAGCAGCACCACTTCCTGGAATCTCCACTCCAATTTTCAAATACTTTGTGACGTTCTCCTTTTGCTCTTACTATCTCTGCCTTCTTTTTGCTGGCTGTTTCTTTTTATTTTCTCTCACCTTGTCATTTGCTCTATTTGTATTTAATTTTTATTTACTTCATGTGTTGGCAGTATGCACATGTCACTGTAATATGATGTCTTTAACACTTTCAGGAAGATACTAGAAGGAGAATATTTGCTCCATTTCCTTAGAAACCTTTATTCAAAATGTACATTGTGCTCAAGGATCTGGCCTGTCCACGTGATGTGTGGAGTCCACTGCAAAATGAAAATGCAGCTCCACAAGTAATTAGAAAGGATTTCAGTGTAGAGCTAGTGAGTGGTAAGTCAGTTGTGAGGCTCTGTGTGAACGTGTAATTCCAAGCCTATAAAGGTGGCCTTGTGTGCACAGTGGAGTGGGGACAGGGTGTTAAGTGTGGAATATCAGTTAAAATCTCATGACCCTCTTTTCCTGACAGTACTTATGTCATACTTATTTTTAATTTAGCATTTGATCTTTGGCATAATCGTGTTTATGGGCACAGAGTGTTTTCATGTATATGCGTATGTTATGGAAATGCCACTGAGCTTATAACATGTCCGTCACTTCACTTATCACTTTTATGTAACGAGAACCTTTAATATATAAGGTGTAATGAAAAATATGTTGAATGTTTAAAATTTTTATTGTAGTAAAACACACATTGCCATTGATCTCTCTCAAAATGTTTCCTGTTTTGAACACATTCAGTATATCGTTTGTGCTAGTTTCTGAAGCAGTTCTGGAAGACCTCCTTCATGTCTTGAGTTGTGCTGTTGTGGTTGTCTTGATGTCCTGAACTGATTCAAAACATTTCCCTTTCATGGTCACTTTGACTGTGGGGAAGAGTCAGAAGCACATGGTGCCAGATCCAGACAATAAGGTGGATAAAGACACACTGTAATCTATTTATTTGATAAATTTTATTTTATCCCATTCCCCCTCAAGCCCCCTCGTCTGTACAACAGGTTTGTTTCCATTTTTTCCTATTTTCACCTTTTTTCTTGTTTATTCATCATTTCTCCCTCTCTCCTCCCTTCTTCCCCTTCACATTTAAACACTTTCTTCCCATGTAATCTATTTATTTGACAGAAATTGCCATAAACATTTTGATTCAACAAGGGGGTGTTCAAAAATGCAATGAATATTTTAGTAAAACATTTATTACAGTACAAGACACATTGCCATTAATCCCTCAAAATATTTTGAACCCACTTATCCCATTTTTTTGGGCAATGTGTCTTTTACTGTAATAAGTTTTATCACTCTTATCTTTGTTACCAACTTGGAAATATACAATATATTGTTAGCTATGATCACCATGATGTACAGCAGATCTTAAAAACTTACTCCTCAGGATTAATGGAAACTTTGTACCCTTTGGCCAACATCTTCCTAATCCCCTGCCCCAGCCCCCACCTCTTCCCCTGGTAACCACCATTCTCCTCTTTACTTATGTTAAATTTGACTTTTTTAGTTTCCACCTGTGAGATCATGTGCTGTTTACCTTTCTAGACGTGGATTAGTTCAATTAGCATAGTGTCTTCTAGCCTCATCCATAATGTTGCAAATAGAATTTCTTTTCCTTTTTTTTGGTTATTTTTTTGAGACAGGGTCTTAGTACATAGTTCAGGCTCTCCTTGAGCTCACTATGTAGCACAGGCTGGTCTTGAACCTGTGGCAATCCTGCTGCCTCAGCCTCCTGAGTGCTGGGATTACAGGCATGCACCACCACACACAGCTGGAATTTCTTAAGGCTGAAGAGTTTTCCATGATATATTTACTCTGAAGAGTTTTCCATGATATATTTACTCTGCATTTTCTTTATCCATTTGTCTGTTGTTGGACATTTGTGTTGACTCCCTATTTGGCCATTATTTACACCAACAGTTGGCAGGATAGTTTTAAAGTCAGGAATTCAGTCTTAAATTCTTCAATTAGTCTTAAATTCAGGAATGGAGACACAGGACCACCCACTTCTCTCCTGGATAATTTACAAACATCTACACACTGTTCTTTGGTATGTTGTCAGCAGAGTGGCCCTACAGGACCTACAGGTTTTCTAGGAAGAGCCCTGATTTGCCTCAAGGTCCAGAAGGCTTTTTCTCTCCTCGGGGGTGGGGTCCTCCACATGCAGCCTTAAGCAACACTGTACAGAATTAATATACTAAAATTAATGGCCTCTGTATTTTTATGCTGATATATTGAGATCGACCATAGAGTTTAATTTTTTCCCATCATAATTATATCCTAAGAATTTCCAATATTCTTAAAATTTCTTTACAAACACAATTTTTGATGGCTGTGAGACATTATCCCCTGGGTGTACCATAATTTATTTATTCTGCTCTCATAGTTTAAGTCATCACAATTTTGGAAAAGCACAAATAGTTCAGAGGCAGCCACCTTTATTAATACAACTGCACTCACCATGCAGTTTCCATTCTGGGAAGCTCTGATTAACAAGAAGCTACATTTTATTTTATTTTGCCCTCATGGCTATAAAGATTGGACATTTTCCCCTATGTTTATGTTAGCATACACATCACAAAACTCACTTAAAAAAGGGAGTAATCTGGATATGTACTTTTGGTATTACTTCACAGAAACTGGCTAAAGAAGACTTTAATTCTCAGAAGATGCAGGAAACATGGGAAAGGAGAGAGGAAAGTGCTAGGGACAAAAGGGGGATATGGGATATGAGGTGAGGAAGGGCCAGAGGGAGGAGGCAAAGGGAGGCCAATGCTAGCTTCTCAAGGCTCCCAGCCCTGTGGAAAGCTGTGTACCTGGTTCCCAAAAGGTGTCTAAGTGTGGCCTCAGCTTCAGAAGAGTGGTTTCAAAGAAGCCAGAAAGCTAGTGAAACCCAAAGGACTCTGATTAACTCACTGTGGGCATAGAGAGAGGCAGGGACTTGGGTAAATACCATGGGGATGGGAAAGATTTATGGTGGTGGAAGGAAACAGGGTCATACAGGCTAGGCTCAGAGGCCCAGGGCTGTTCTCAGGATCTGCATGGTGGGTAAGGGGAGGGATGATGGAGGGGTGAGCAAGTGGCCTAGGCTGAGCACAGCTGGCCATCTCCCTGCTCTGTGTCTTGCCTTGGTTCTTCTGGTCCAGTGGCTGTACCTGGTCTAAACATCTGGGCACAGGCTGGGCCTTTCTTTGGTTCCCTCTGCTGCTCGAACCACTGTCCTCCCCACCACTGTGGCTGGTCAGAGATAGTAAGTGGCAAACTTGTTAGTGAAGTAAGTCTATGGGGCTTAATCTTTTGTCCCAGAGACAAACATTTCCAAAACAGTGAGAGAAATGGGGACTGTTTCCCATGTGTGCCACACAGCTGCCTCACAGTGGCCTGAATCTAGAAAAGGCTCTTTGTGCGAATCCTGAGAGCAGACACAATGTGACTAGGAATAAGAGCATACCAACACCACCAGGATAGACTGACCCAGAAATGTTTTGCCTAATGGCATTAGGTTTATTTTGTGGCAAAGAGTTTGGGGTTCTCCATAAGGCACTTGTGAAGCTCAGATGTAAAGGCAACCACAGCTAACGGTAGACCCCTTCCAGAGCATCCTTGGGACAGGCAGGAAAGAGATATCCCCAGGGCCGCAGGGGACACCCCCTATCAAACTGACAAATTTGGGGGCCTGGAACAGATGGCTTGCTTGTTTCTACCAACAGCTTGCTTCTTCCAGTCAGTCTTAAAGTTTGGCATTGAGGGTGGGAGGCACAGGGCCCATCCACTTCTCTCCTGGATGAAAAACCAGAGATGTCTACATATTGTTCTCCAGTGTGCTGGCAGTAGGGGTATCCCCATAGGACCCAGGGGTTTTCTAGAAGGAGCTCTGCTTGACTTCAAGGAAGAAGCTTGCTGAAACTTCCTTTTCTCCTGGAGGAACCTGGTGGCTCCTCCCCATTAAACCTTGAGCAGTACTGGCTGTATACAGTTTTCTGGTGGGAAATGTCAAGAATATTTTTTGCTCCGAATGCCTGCTTCTGGTCAGCTGATATGATGGGGGTGGGGTGGGGGTTAAGGTAGCTCGGGGTGGAAACTGGAACGTACCTAGCAGGTGCGCCAGCAGTTCCATGCGGTCAGAGCCAAATAACATGTGTGTCTGGTCATCCACGTGGGCCACAGTGATGGGCAACCCAAAAGCCTAAAGAAAGCAGAGTGCAATGCTGCTTATTAGACTGGGATTGAGAGCTTTTAGGCAAGAAGTGACTGGGGTCACAGCAGCCCAGCTGCCAAAGAGGTGTTTGCAAACATGGACTGAGGTGCCTTCTCTGCTTGTGACACTGAGGCTCTGCCTTTTCTTTCCCTCCTTTCTTGGCTCAGATAGAGGAAGAGAAAAGAAGAGTTATCTGGGAGAGCTGGGAAGGAAGCATGAGCAGGGCTTTTGGGCACGAGTACAGAGCCCTTTACCGAAGAGACTGTCTTGGTCTTTGGGACAGGACTTGGGAATACAGGGAGAGTTGCTCACCCCATATCTGCAGGCTGCCTCAGTGGTCTCCTTGAGCTGGTTCTTCACTTGTGCTGTGGAGATCTTCTCCAGAAGACTTTGGGCTTTCTCTGCAGACAAACCAGCCTTCTGCGCTGCCTGAGGGGATAGGCAGGGGACACAGCTCTGTCTGCACTGTGGAAGCAGGAGCTCAGGAGAAAACTCTGGCCTTTTCTTTAGCTGTTTCCAAGTTTTCCTGGCAATGCCTTTGCCCACCCAGGCATCCTTGTCAGGACACAGTCTATGGTAATGACAGTCTATCCTTGTCAAGAGAAATTCTCCTTTCTTCAAAATTTGAAATGGATGGAAAGAACAGTGGGCAGAGTCACAGCCAGAGGAAATGAACACCAGAGGGCATCTTAGAAGGGTCAGAGGTGACACACTACCTGTGCAGAGGTACAAATCTCTTAAGTCTCTAAAATTCAAGTCCAGGGTGCTTTCCTACTTCTCAGAATTCCTCAATACCTCATTTTTCAAGTCAAGGGTTGAGTTCTAATTTCCATGGACTTTCTGGAGGACTCTGACACAATGATATGGTAGCAGCCTCTTGCCTGGCTTCAAGAGAATGGTAAAGGCTTTGGCTTAAAGGAGGCCATTAAAGATTGGGACCAGTGGTCCTCAAGCCTGGTGAATATGACTCTCCTGGGAACTTTAAAAAACCCTAATATGCAGGCCATCCCTAGCGAATGATCACATCAGAGTCTGGGGTAGGACCAGGTGGGACATGTGATGTTAATGGATAGCCCTGCTGAGAACTGCTGCACATTTGGAGGCCACAAAGTCCATGGTAATGAGCCATTGCCTTGACAGGCAATGAGAGATGGGAGAATTGTATCTCAGACAAAACGGCCAACAATAGAACAGATAAGTCAGCAGAGATAAGGCCACTGGGTAGAAAACTATGTCAAAACGAAGAATCGTACTTTCAGAAAGTCGAAAGTGTCATGGAAAAAGGGTTTATTATTATTATTTTGGTACTGGGGATTGAACTCAGGACTTTGCACTTGAAAGGTAGGTGTGGCGCCACTAAACTAAATCCCTGGCCCATTTTTTTTGTACTGGGGATCAAACTTGGGCCCTTGAGCTTGTGAGACAGGTGCTGGAACCAACCACTAAACTAAATCCCCAGCCTGAGTTTTTAAATATTAAGCAAAACAGCAGGCCAAAAACTTTCTTTGTAGGAACAAAGACACTAGATTGTAGTAGGCAGGCTTTTCAACACTGAAATCTGGTGTGGTTTGTCATTTCATATATTAACTATGAATGTGCTTCAACTATTGTTTATAAACTGAATTTTTTTTTTTTTTTTTTTTTTTTTTTTTTTGGGAACTGGGGATTGAACTCGGGTCCTTGTGCTTGCAAGGCAGGCCACTGAACCGCAGAGCTAAATCCCCAGCCCTAAACTGAATTTTCTTAACCCCACAGGATGTCTTATTTAAACCTCCATCTCTGTATGGCATCGATTCAGTGTTTTGAGAGCATTTTCCATTTTTTCTCACTTTGACACTTGTCACTTATCTTTTTGTCTTTTTAGAGCCTCTTCTAAAAATCTCTTGCATTCTAATATACATTTGTTGGTGTTTTTTGTTTTTTTTTTTCCTGGTACTGGGGATTGAACTCAGGACCTTGTGCTTGCAAGGGTGGTGTGGTGCCACTGAGCTAAATCTCTGGCTGTTGGTGAGTTTAGTGCTGGAGTCTTTGGGGACTTGTGAACACTCCATCCTTCAGCACCTGGGGATCTAGCTGTGATTCTCTCTCTCTCCCACCGACTTCTTTCAATCAACTACATTTTACTCATATGTTGTTTATTTTGCATTTCCTTTTTCAGCTGAGAGATTTAATTTGTTTTTGGTACTGGGACTGAACCCAGGACTTTGTTCATGCTACACACACACTACCACTGAGCTACATCCCCACCTGCTAACATACTGTTTTGAGTATTCTCTTAATTCTGGCTTTTCAGTAATTTGTCCTCTCTGACACATTTTTCCCCACAAATCACTATGAGCTTTTTCATGCAATATTAGAGCTATTGTTCTCTTTGCTCTCAACACCAGCTGTTCTCAGATAGATCCCTGGGACAACACTGAGGGTGGGGCCCAGTCACTTACAGCCAGGATGCTCTGGGACTCCACAATATCTTCATCCTGGGAAAGGAGGACACTTAGCAGAAAGGGAATAGCAGAGACAGGGAATTGACAGTAAGGGAAGGCAGGACTGTTACTCTGGCCACCCAGGGTCCCTCTCAGTGGATTCCCAGAACCCAGCCCTCACCCGTGACCAGATGCGCATCCATAGCTCCCTGGACACCTTTTCCAGGCTCTCTGGGTGTTCCATGTTCACAGCAGTGAGGAACTGCATGGCAGACAAACTTCCTGCAGGACAAATGCACTCAGAGGTAGCGTTCTTGTCTTTGTATCTGGATGTCTTGAGAACAAGCTCCTCCTTACTGATATGCCTCTGGCCTCTGCTGCCTGCTATCTTTCACCTCTTTCCCATAACCAACTTGTCCCATTTAACCCCTTTTTTCTGACCCCACAGCCCTGTGCTTGTTCTGCTCAGGTCCTAAAATTCCCCAGCAGGCTGCACCAAGTTAGTCTCCCAAACCCTCTGGCTCACTCTCTCCTGCTCTCTTCACCTTTTTTGAAAACCACAGAGTTGAAATCCTTGGGGAATCTGAGCGGGACCTGGAAATGCTGTTTCAGGCGTCCAAGGTCGTTTATCATGTACTGGGCTTTTCGAGGAACCACAACTGGCGGCTTGTTTCCTGGCAGTGGAGAGTTGGACAGGCTGTTGAAAGAACTAAGGGTCCTAGGCTTGGAGGACCTCTGCCTTGGTCTCAGGCAGAGTGCAAATTACAGTATCAGCTGCAGGGGCCCTTATAAAAACCAGCTGAGGACAGCTTCTGGTGGCCCCTGAGATGAGATTACCCCAGCCCTACCCCAAATGCTTCTCCCTGCCTACCGCTGTCTGTCATGATCCCTGCAATATAGGTGGGCCGCAACTGCAGCTTGATATTCCAGATGTTCTGATACCTGCACAGGACCTACCCCGAGGAAGCAAAACAACAACAGAAACAAAACAGAATAACCACGTGTCAGACTGGAAGACAGAAAACGCCTCTCCTGGCAGCCAATTAGCCAGAGGTTCTAAGTGCAGAGTAAGATAATAAGGGCAGTCTGGGCTGTTTGGTTTAAAAGGACACACTGTTCTCCATGCCTACAATCAGTTTCAGGAACTTTGCTTCTGCACCTCAGCCGCAGAAACTGCCAGCCGAGGGCCTGGACGAGAAGTGGCCATGCATTTCATCTCCTTGATTCTCTGGGGATACCCTTGTACTTTCTCACCACCGTGGGAAGGCTGCACTGTTTTAGGAGACAAGGTCTCCACTTGGAGCCGGCGACTCTGACCAGTTCAAAAGCGCGAAGTAACGGTCAGTCCCTTATACTCTGATTGTTGTAGCCCCACGGCAGCGTTAGGAATAGGAGACTCAACCCCGATGTCCTCGCCCTCCAGGCCCAGGCGGCTCCCCCCACCCCCGCATCACCTCGAAGCCCAGCCAGGAGTATGGGGACAGCACATCATAGAAGAGCTCCAGAGTGCGTGGCGGGGGCCCCATGTTGCCTCAGCAGGCAGGCAGCGAAAACAGAAGGAGAAGGTAAAGTAAGCGGTCCTGGTCTCTGCCACCTCTCCCCGACCCGCAGATCCCGCCTCCTCTCTCGGGCCCGCCCCCAGCGCCGGCCGCGCAGCCTCGGTGGAGAGACACCAGGCTTGCGGGGAGTTGCGCTTCTGACGTCGCAGCTCGGCGTCCAGTTCAGGAAGTAGGGGGGACTTCGGGTTGGAGTCCTTGTTCTGCTGAGGTGGAGTCTGGGGTGAACAGCGTGGTCTGAGATGCTTGCAGTACATTTCACTTAGCCTTGCGCCTTTGCAAGAAACTAGATGGCTCTAAACCTCTCTGGAACTTAAGCACTTCAGCACATAGTGAGGAAGGAAGGGCTTGCAATAAGGAAGGGCCTGCTTGTTATTGTTTCTTGGGAGTTGCACGAACCTCTTAGGACTGGGTAGAAGTTCCAAATTTCACATTTTCTTGTGTTCCGTGGGACTTACGTAACAATCAATACAGTAATCCTCTCCACTGGATGCTTGGAATCACAGATAATACCGAACCCGACATACGTTATACTATATTTTTTCCTATATATACCTACAACAAAGCTAAACTTATAAATTAAGGACAATTGGACATTAACAATGATAGCTAATAACAATCTCCTGGATTAAAAACTTACATTTAGCGGCCATTATTAACTAACGTAAGGCTTTCTTGAATATGAGTACTTCAGTGATCTTATAGCTGATCTGATAACCTCTAAAACTGCGGTCCCTGCTTGGACGCTAGCTTTGCGTGGTATTGTATTTATCAGCTCTGCAGGTGTGTTGAGGACATAAGCTTGTCTCCCTGTGGGATTATTCATTAGTATTGTTTATAATAGCAGTATACTGGGAACTATTAACTATCATTATGGGACAACTCAATATTTAGAATATTTTAGAATATTTATTATAACTAATATTTAGAATATTTTGAAAGTTCGAAAAGGATTTTGAAACTTTTAATGTTGATATTGGATTGTGTTTGTTAGCTTTCCATTACTATGATACCATACCTGAGAAAATCAACATGAAAGAAAGATTAGTTTTGGCTCATGATTTTAGAGGTTTCAGTCCATAGCTGCTTGGCTCCATGGCTGTGGACCTAAGGAGAGACTGAACATCATGATAGAGAGCAGTGGTTGAGGAAAGGGGCTCATCTCATTGAGGACGGGAAGTGGGGAAGGGGAGAGGGCAAGGGCCGAGGATAAAAAGTACCCTTCAAGAATACACTCCTAGTAACCGGGTTTCTCCAATCAGGTTTCACATCCTGAAGTTCCCACCACTTCCCAACAACCTATAAATTCATCAATAGACTGATCCCCTGATGAGGTTACAGCACTCAAATCCCATCGCCTCCCAAACACCCCACCTTTGAACACTGCTGTACTGGAAATCAAGCTTTCCACACATGAGCTTTCAGGGAATGTTTCAGATCCAAAGCAGCACAAATTATTTACGTAATTAGGTATTCATACCAGTGTTTTCAGTACTAAGATCAAACCCAGGAACCTTTGCACTGAGCTATACCTCCAGCACTCCCCCCAACCTTTAATGTTTGTTTTGAGACGGAGTCTTAGTAAGTCACTAAATTGGCCATGTTGGACTCAGAATCCTTCTTCCTCAGCCTCCCAGAGTGCTGGGATTATGGGTGTGTGCCACCACGCTCAGTTTATATCATATATATTAATAAGTGAAAAAACAAAGTACAAATAGTATTATTTTTTAAGGGTTGAAATAATCTAAGTGTGTGTGTATGCATACACATACATGCTTCTTGATGTTGCTGAGTGGAGACAAAGAATTGACAAATTGTTTACTTTTGAGGAGTAAGACTAAGTGGCTGAGGGACGGGCTAGGTGGGAGAGTTTTGCTGTATATAAGGTTTAATATTTTTTAATCTATGTGAGTAAATAATCTACTCAGAAAGACAGATATGAAAGAAGCAGAAAGAAATGGAGTAAACAAAAATGGGAGGAGAAAGCAAGGAAAAAGTAATAAAGGGAAAAATTTTGCTTAGGAGTCTGCGCTGGCAGAAGAGGGAGGAAATTAGAGGGCAGTTATTATTATTTTTTTTCTTTTTATTGAGTTTATTGGTACATTCTAGGTACACAGTACAGTTACATTCATTACTGGGATCTTCTACCTTTACATGACAAGTCTTGGTTTTCATTTTTGCCCTTGTCCCTGCCCTCCCTTCACCCTCTCCAGTTATTATTATTTATTTGACTTACTGTAATTTGTGCATTTTACTTTGATTTAAGGAAAATGTCAGTTATGGAGGCCACATAGCAACGTGTGTAACATGGTGTTAAGGTTTAATATTTGCCAAGATGCAAGTGCATATTTACATCCCTGGTTCTCAGTGCGTGACATTTTTCTAGAGGCTTACCAAAGGTTGTGTGAAATTCCACATGCTAGCTTTTTCACTTAAGAAATCATACAAAAATGCAAGAGAATGAAGTTAACATTATTATAGCTCTTATCTTGGATATACCATGCTATATTTAAGAACAAACTTCAGCAATCGGGTTACTTTAAATATGATTAATAACAAATTTACATGGAACATCTCACAATTCCTGAGAATATACCAGTGTGATAACATTGAAACCAAGAATAGCTAATAAATGCTGAAATTATATAGTCTTGCAAAATATGTGTGCACATGGACAAAAACAAAAGAAAATAAAGTGACAATAGCTCTTTTAGGGATTATGCACAACTTTTCTTAATTTCTCAGACTTAAAAAACAGCTTTGTTAATACCTTCTTTCCTTCCCTTCCTTCATTCTCTCCCTTCCTTCCTTCTTGCTTTCATTTCTTCCTTCTTTCTCTCTTCCTTTTCTCTCCCTCCCTTTCTACTTGCCTCCACCATTTCTTCCTTCCCTCTTTTCCTTCTTTCTCTTCTTCTGTTTTGTGAAAAATCACTGGCTCAGGTTTATGTCTGGAGGGAACCTGTGTAGAACTTCAAAGGGCCTCCCCTCCCCAGTATAATAATCCTGACATATATCCCATCTTGAATTATTTGAAAGAGAGTTCAAATGTGTGAAGATGCTATAGTTTGGAATTGTCTCCTCCAAGGCCTACATGTCAAAAGCTTTGTCAAGGGTGACAGTGGGAGTGCAGAAGGCTCTTAGGTGGGTGTGGCCTCAAGAGACCAGGATCCTATGTTTCAACTCTCTGCTTCCTCGCTCAAGGTGTGACTGTTTTGCTTCAAAATGTGCTCTCCACCCTTGCCATCCAGCACCCTCACCAGAGGCCCACGGCAATGGTCTCCCCAATTTAGAACTTCAATTTCTGAAACTGAGATAAAGAAACTTTTTCTCTTAATGAGTTAATTCTCCCAGTTATTTCACTGTAATAATGCAAAGATGGGAAGAAATGTAGAAACATTTTCAAACATTGTTTGAAAATTTAAAAGTACAGTGAGAACAATCTTTAAATTCAGTCTAAGAAAAGATTCATTTGTTCATTATTTAAAGCTTCATTCATTCCATTTGTGCTATATCCTTCATCCTTAGTGCTATAGAACATTGGGCTGGATAATTCTTGGTTGTGGGGGCCATTGTATTTATTGTGGGATATTTGTAGCATCTCTGTCCTCTCCACTATAAGCAAGTAGCAGCCCTCTGAACACTACCTGTGATAATCAAATATTATACTCAATGAGTGAAGACTATATATTACATTATTTCATTTACGTGAAATCTCCAGAAGAGACAGAAAAGATATCAGTGGTCTTTCCTAAGACTGTCAGTGAGAGCAGGGATTGACTGAAAACTGTCAAGAGAGAGCTTCTTAAGGGATGGAATTGCCAGTTAACTCTTGGCAGTGTCAAAATCATCCCCTGTTGAGAGCCAGTGTACTGGTCTTTATCGACTGTCCCTTCTGTCTCATATACTATGCTGAATGTTTGGGGATATATGCATTTAGTTAATCCTTTAATGATAGAGTCAAAAGTTGCTTAGCAGGGCTGGGGATTTAGCTCAGTGGTTCAGCCTCAAAAGCACAAGGTCTCAAGTTGGATATCTGGTACCAAAAAAAAAAAAAAAAAGAAAAAAAGTTGCTTAGGAAATTCAATCAACGGTGCAGTGTGTGTGTGTGAGTGTGTGTGTGTGTGTCTGTGTGTGTGTGTGTGCGCATGTGCACACACACATGTGCATGTGTTAGGATTGAGAATGATGAAAAAAATCCAAGGCAAGGTGCTTGGGAGAAGTAACCCTAAATGAAGACTTGAAGGGTGGGTAGGAAGTACATCATCAGAATATCTTAGTCAAGGCTGCTATTAAACGATCCATAAACTAGGTGGTGTATAATCAACAGAATTTTACTTCTTATGGTTCTGGAGGTTAGGAAGTCAAACAGCCAGCAGATTTGCTGTCTACTGAGGGGTCTATACCAGTCACCTTCCAATGGTCTCACCTAACTATGTCAGTATGGAGGTTAAGATTTCAATAGAGGAATCTTGCTGGAACACAAACGTCCAATCTATGTCAATTAGAGGGAGCAGGTGGAGCATACTGAGCTAGCATCAGGGCCAAAAGCCCATTGTCTGGAGTCTTGAGGTAATGAGAGGAGTTCTTTTTAGCAGAAGGATTTCGAGGAGGACAGTGAAAGAGAGGAAACTGGAGCCAGGGCATGTAGAGGCTCGCTTGTGTGACAAGTGTTAGTCTTTACATGAATGACCTCAAACTTAGGGTGATTTTGTAAACATATTTTATAGAAGAGAGGGAATCCCATTGTATAAGTATGCTTAAGTACTAAAAAGTGTTTCCTGTGGTGCAGAAAACATACAGAAGCTACCAGTAATTTACTCCTGTGATGAATCACTCAGCCACAAAGATATATTTTTATTATTTAGCCAAAACACATTGAGTTTATTACATTTCAGACACTGTTCTAAGAGCTTTGAAAATATTAACTTGTTTAATTTTCATAACAATCCAATGAGCAGGTACTGTTTGTTTCAGCAACTTTTTTTTTTCTCTCATTGAGTTTATTGGTACATTTTAGGTATACAGTACAGTTACATTCATTATTGGGATCTTGTAACTTTACACGACAGGTCTTGGTTCTCATT